CGGCTTAGGGCGAAATGCCTTTTTTCCGCCAGCAGCCACCTGCTAGCGAGGGCGGCCCGGCTCCCCTGCCCGCTCCCCACTGCCCCTCTTGTCCCACTCCGAGCACCTGCTTTGGGATGTCTCCTGAGCACCTGTAAGCTGCTGTCCCACCCAGGGTAACTCCCTTGGGAGCTCTGGCTGGGGTTTGAATTGTTTGTCTGGTTCCTTGGGGCGCAGGAGTTTTTTGCGTGTCAGAGTTGCTTATTTAGAGCAACGGTGTAAAGAGAATATGGTCTTGAGTCACAGAAATACGATCTCCAGGTCAACTTGTAATGTCAGTCCTCCCATGGGCTTGTTACTTTAGTTCGATAGTTGTCTCGCTCAGTTTGAAAAAAAGTTGATTTTGTTTTCTAGCTAGAAGGAAGACGTGGGGAGAAGTGATCGTCTCATGGCTACTGGCAGTGAACGGGACTTAAGCTGCTGAGTTTACATACCTTCTGTCTAGTGTCATTAATAGTTCTTGCTTTGTTTTTACATGTGCAGCAGGGATTCCATACGTGGCAAGGAGTCTGCTGTGAGGTCCGGGCGAAATGGCGAGCCTTCTGCGTGTTGCTGTTAGTGGGTGCTCAACTCCTGTTTTTAGCAATGTGTTGCCACCTAAGGTGCATTCTGCAAAGATGCCGTGTTTGCGAATGTTTAGAACCCACCAGATGCTCAGGGCTCAGGCAGCTCCAAAGCCAGGTAAACTGATTAAACTATTGTAAATAATTGTTTATTTTGAAACACGAAGATAGGTTGAATTTCTCTTTCAGATATGCATTAGTCCAGAAAAGTCTTAAAATAAAAAGAATGCTCGTAAATCATGTCAGCAGCTTACTTGAGTCAGTCAGTTGCAGTACAGTTTTACGCTGGTTTTAAAGGGCTTATGCAGAAGGTGTTTGTGTTTATTATTAATACTTTGGATCCAAATAGTTTTTAAGGGTACGTGGTCAGAGGTCCTCCTGACACTTACCTTGCTTGAGGGAAGGATTTAAACAAATGCGTTTCTTAGTTAAAAGCCTGAGTTCCCCATGAGTCTTGGTAGTGCAACTCTTTGTGTGCATGCAGAGAAAAATACAGCTTTCACAAAGAAAGCATTTGCAGGCATGACTGTATGTAGATGTAATTATCCTATGTGAAAAAATCTCTTAGCTTTGTTCAGGGAACTCTTTATGTTGTACCACGTTGAAGAACTACTGATCTGCATCTTCATGTGTAGGGTTTATTGATATATTTGTACTAATTACGTTTTAGTGCAGATAATGGACAGGTTCAGGTATTTTCAGGAACAAAAAGGAGAAGGGAATGGGCGCATCCTTGGTTCCAGTTTACGATGTGAGCCTGGTGTATGAAAATCGGAAGTGACATTTTTTTGCTCTATCCTATGCTGTGCATAGCTTGACAGCAAGAAGACTGGAGAATATGTAAAACTGGTTTAAGCCCACTATCCTGCATGGGTCATGTCTCCCTGAAGGAATTTAGAGACCCTGTTTCAGTGCAGGTCTAGGGTCTTTTCAGTCTGGGACAGATTAATGTGGAGAGTTAGATTGATTGTACGTGTGATGTTCGGTTCTTCCAAACATACACAGTAGGTAACTGCATTAGATATTTTGGAGTATTAGAAAAGTAGTGCTGTTTGTGAACAGAATGTCTGGTTGTGAAAACACAGGACATAAGGTTATACTGTATAACTTGGGGAAGCCTGTGTTGCATGGAATTTCTGCTAATACTAACAGTAGCTAGTGCATTTTTGGGTCCTTTCAAATCGGTGGCCCAATGTTTTGGAGCTTCTGAAGAAATATGACGAGAAGAAGAGTTTCTTTACTCTGAGGGCTCCTGATAATCTGTATCGCATGCCTTTTTACCACAGTTGCATGGTGAAACCTGAACTTTGCTCTGACTGACAGCCCAGGGATCTGGGGTCTGTCAGAACTGATCAGGTAATAGTTTTGCCATGAATTTGTGATGCTCCAAACTTATTTTTCCATATTCAGTATCTGAATGAAAGAGACATCTGCTTGTCGTGATATGGCAAATTGTCCCTTGGTTGGGAGTGTTAACCTGGGACGTAGGAAACTAGGTTCAAAGTTCTTTCTCAAATGTCCCAGGTAAATGCCCTTGTTGTTGTTTGAGTTTGGAATCAATCTTTGTATTTGACTTTGACCACAAATTTGATCATGAAACTGAAAGATCTCTTCAGTTTTACTGTATGTAAAAACAGCGTGTATTTACTATTTTATCAGTATGCTGGTCTATGTGTGTGTATGTTTTCTTGTTTTTATGAATCACTTTTCAGAAATTTTTCCATAAGAACAGAGAATTCTGATTAGTGTCGTGTTTGAGCATTCAGTGCTGTCCCTTCAGATGTGTTGTGTGGAAGCCCTTATTTAAGGTACTCATGCAATACAGTTATTTAATGCTGATAATTACAAGTTTGGTAGGTCTTCTGGTTGATAATTAAGCTGTCCTTATAGTTCATTTTGGTAATATGAGATTTGTCATTCAGTAGAAGACAAATCAAGGATAAAACAGCCATTGAATGACAAATTAGTAGCACTACTGTTGCCTATGTATACTTTTTAAGTACTCTTGAATCAAAATTTAACAGCATATAAAATAACTACATTTTATTCTTACTTCTAGAAATTATCTTTGATTATAGTGACACTTGGTAAAATCACTGTAACACTAAGAAGAGTAAGGTTTCTGAAAAGACTAGTGTCACAGTAATTCTTAAGCCTGTAGTTATTACTTGGGTTCTCTCAGATTAGCTTTCATTTAGTCCAGGATATGTTACGTACAAGAATACCAGCTGCTTGAGGAGTGAAGAGATTTGGAGTCGGTTGAAAAGTAAACTTGGAGGATGGATACTTTTCGTATTGCTGTTTATCTTGCTGCTATTTTCTTTGTTTCTTAGAAACATAGGGATTTTCATACAGGAGTAATCAAGTATTCCTGTAAGCTGTCTCAAATAGTCACTAGCACCAGATGCTTCAGAAACAGATGAAAAACTTACCAAGATCTGGGAAAGGTGCTTACGGAGTGACCAACTCTGAGGTTTCCAATATACTTCCAGATTGGTTTGTCCTACAGCTCTGTGACTTTTACCCCTCTCTATCTTGGGATTTTAATGTCCCTTTTATTTTGATGCTTCTTTCTTAAAACTTCCTGGTTTTTTTTCTAAATCTTGCAGAACTTTTAAACCTGTAACAGTTTATTGTCAATTAATTCTCTAGATAAGCTGTAGATTATTTATAAACCATAGACATTCTCCTTTAATTTCCTTGGGTTTTTTGTGTCTCCTTGCTTGTGTAAGAAGAGGGATCAGGTGTTTGTTTAATCTTCTGTACCATTCTTTTTTTTTTTTTTCTTTCCTTTTTGCCAACATCATATTGCTGTTCTTTGGAATATGTCCTCATCTTCAGAACAGGTGAGATGGTTTGTTTAAAGCTGATACTAGAGTAACTTAGAAATCAGGCAGGTAATGTATCCAGTTTTCCGGCCCAGAACATGTGGTATATAGTCAAAACTTCTTCTTTCTCTTTTCTATGTCAGTTTAAAGTATTTGTTGATACTATTTTGCTACAGACTACTTCCTGTAATCAGGTTAAGGAGATGATAACTTGTATTCTTCTGTTTTTCACTACATAAAATGTCTGAGTTTTCTTGATAGTTTTAATTTAGGATCTTCTTTAAACACCCTGTAGATGAAAGTTAAATGGAGAAAATTGCTTTTATAGTTATTTTAATTTTAAATTGTTCTGAAGCTTGGAGATGTAGACTACCTACTTACTTTGTTTTTGTTTAGTTTGAGACTGTGCGTTGAATAAAATTGCTTTTATAGTTATTTTAAATTGTTTGATTTCTGAAGCTTGGAGATGTAGACTACCTACTTACTTTGTTTACTTGAAGTTTGAGACTGTGCGTTGAATATGTCCTCATTACACAGTTGAGATTATGTTAAGGGAATGAGAAAGAGTGGCTTCTTCCTAGTTTTTCTACCTTCTAATTTATGTACATTCCATACTAAGATTCTAAGGCCTGTGAAATTTAATGATTCTACTTTTGATAGTGGCAGAATCCTTTTGGTGTTGATTCTTTATATCAATAAAAAGTACTGTGTATCTTCTACTCAATGAACAATATGTTCAAAATCTTCATGTGACTCAAAAAGGTACTCAAGATGTGTGTATATCAGTCTGTTTTTGGAAAATGTTCTTGATGTCATAAAGCAGTAAGTTACTAAAACATACTCAAGGCAGTTCTTAAAGAGATTATCTGACGTGGAGGGTTGGAAAGGCAATGTGGAAGCTTCACTCTCTCATGCAGTTTTAAACCCATGGCAAGGATAGCAGATGTGCTTTCTCAAAATAAAACCTAAATCAAGATCCTAAGTTTATAATTCTAGATTTCAACCTTTCAAAACTAATTAATTGGATGAAATTGCTGAATTCAACAAACCAAACCTGTGTTCTTAGTATAGCTTTCTTCAAACATAGTATTTATCATACCCTGTCCTGAAGTTTTAACATAGATCTTCGCTTTGCAGTTGCAGATATCTGATCCTTTGTGGTGAGGAATGATGTGATAGCTCAGGGTACTCTGCTTGAAAAATGTCCTATACCTGGTCTAGCTAAAGGCTGGCAAACCGACATCTGTTTGCTTCTGTATTCACTTGCTTCTATATTCACTGGTTGCTAGAAATTTGGTAGTGGGACAGAGGAGAAAAGAAGGTGAGAGGCAAATGAGACTTGTTGAATGTTTGTCTTGGATTTGATCTCCCAAAGCATTGGAGGAGGGCATAGTCCTCAGTATTGATCTCTGATCATTCTGCTTACTGAATAAGGTGCAAATACTTTCTATCTGAAAAATTTTTACCTATTTTCATTGCATGCAAGATGTAGCAATGTGAAAGAAAGAAATGAGGAAACGTATTTGGCATGTAGCCAGTGCATATTCCTGTTCATCCCTCCTAGCCATTTACTTTTCTACTTCGGTACCCCACACAAAAGCAAGTGAACAAAAAGAAATCAGAAGCATCAATTGTCATTTGAACTTGGGCCTTAGGAGCTAAAAAAAAAAAAGAAATTTTTTGCTTGAGAAGTGTATAAGCTTTAGTCAAGTGTCTGTGTGCCTTTAAATTCGCAGTCATCCTTCTATCCCCTGTATGCTGTAATTTATTCCTTCCTTCCTTTGCATTTGTGTGCTGCAAAAACTTCCAAAAGGAGAAAGGGAAGGTAGAACTCCAGTTTTTATTTCCTCAGTGCTTCTTGAAGAGCTTTTTGCCTTCTATCCTAGAGCTACTTCCTTTCTGAATTTATGATTGGTCTTTGTTGTTCTAACAAACTTCAATCTTCTAGGTTTCCTTTCTGCTTCTAAAAGACAAGAGAGCTCATTTCCACTGAGCTGATATAGTGAAAGTCAGAAGCAGGACTTTATTGTGTAGTAATTAGGAGAAGAGAGGAGGAGAAAGTTCCCTTCAAATGACAAGGGTAGCTTGTATGAATGACGGTAACAGTTACCATAGCTTTCAAGCGGTTAGTGCTGCTGTGATAGGGACGCCCTGAGTTGCACAGTGATGTTTAGATGTGATGTATGCTGATGAAGCAAATCTTTGCAAAGCATTGTTACCTTTGTGGATCTGTTTTAGATGTGCATTCTCGCTCCTGTTGTGACTTTACGTTCCTTTAAGGCATGCTTTTCTGAATTTGATTTTTGTCTTGTAATCTGAAGAATTTTAAATGTTCTCCAACATATAAAATATCAAAACACTTGTGTCTTCAAATTATTTGTTAGCATTTTATTAGTTTAATTTCAAAGAGAAATCTAAAATTAAAAAAAAGGTAAAAATAATTAGAAGAAATGCACTTTGTCTGGTGATCTTTCACTCTGTCTTCTTCTTGGATGTGTTCAATCAGTTTTTTTATGGGTTAGAAGACGGATGAGTACAGGTAAATATTTAAGTACCAGTTCTTAGCAACTCTGTATTGTATTTTCAGAACACTGTAAGTTGATAGTATCTTGAAAGTTGTTAATCTAAAACACTTTGAGATGTTCAACTCTAAGCACCTTACAGTCCTAGTTTTATTTCACAGATAGATTTAGATTTAAAAATATCAAAATTATTCAGTTCCTCAAATCTCTTATAGTATGGTTTGCTTTTTGCTTTGTTTTGCCTGTTTCTATCTTAAAAAACAAACAAGAATAAAGAAGTGGAAAGGAGGCCTTCCTAAAATGTGCAACGCTTCGCTAGTCTGGTACAATTTTTGTAGCACAATACATAGTATTGGTGGCCAAATTAAATGCAGATTTGTAATTTAAAACAAGCCTTTTACCCCACGCCTCCCCCCCTTTTTTTTTGGTATTTTTTTTTTGTTTTGGGGTTTTTTTTGTTTGGTTGCTTGATCTTTAATGTGAGTGACTGCTTAGGCTGCTCAAGTTATATTTCATTAATATATATGTGGTGTAGGTGTCCTGTGTATAAATGCCACAATCCAGGTTTAAATTGTGGATAGACATCAGTGAAAGCTGGTGCAGAATTGGGCCTATGTGCTGGACTGCATGCTGTCTACTGTAACTGAAGAAACGTGGTAGTTTGATATACGATTATTCTGCTTGAGTCTGTGTATTTATAAATAATGTATTTAAACACTTGATTTTATCGGAGAAGTTTAACTCTCAGATATTAGACTGGAAGCCCACAAATTGTACGTGAACAAAGTTAGATGTTTGTGATTTGAAACCTTAAGCTAAAACTGATAAATTACAGCTTCTGTAGTTTCCTGGTGTTATTTAGTAGAGCTTTGAACAAGTTAAGACAAGGAGATAACATTGAAGAGAAGTATAATTGAACGAACTAGTAGACGGATATTCCATTATTCTTCAACTGCTCCTGAATTCACATTTTTCATTTCTGTAGCAACTCTTAGAGTACCTTATCGATGTAGTTGTGCCTTTCAATGTACTTTGTGGTATGTAAGTTACATTCATTAATAGTGATCTGAGACAACTGTAATTTGATAGACATTAAAAACAAGTTCAGTTAAAATGCAGTTCAGCTGTTCAAGCTTGTTTGTTTCTTCACAATAAAGTTGAAGTGACTAGAGAGGGATTTAAATTCTTCTTGCCCCAGGCAGAATGTGTTATCACCAGAACACCATGTATTGTGTAACTGGCATTCTGTTTTATACAATCAGAACTGTATAAATTCAGATGGGTATGAACTGCACCAAACACTTGTTCCTGCTTGTGTGGCTGATTGTGCTGACCTGCTGATTCTTGAGAGAATAGGTATCTAGCAAGATGGTGTAATTTAAGGAAACGTAAACTACACTGCTAGAAAATACCATTCTGCTTCCTCATCCCTTAGGAGGGAGAATTGCTAAGTGTGACATGTCTGCGTGTGTCTGTACAACACTGAAAAGTGCCATTAATATCAATTAATTAATCTTTAGTGCAACTAATGCTGTCTTATGTGCCACTCTTACAGGAATTCCTTATAAACAGCTGACTGTTGGTGTCCCCAAGGAGATATTTGAGCATGAGAAGAGAGTGGCTCTATCACCGGCTGGAGTTCAAGCCTTGGTTAAACAAGGCTTCAATGTTGTGGTGGAATCTGGTGCTGGAGAAGCTTCCAAATTTTCTGATGACCATTACAGAGAAGTTGGAGCAAAGATCCAGGGGACCAAGGAAGTCCTGGCTTCTGATTTGGTTGTCAAAGTAATTGCTTTATTAATAAATTTCCTATTACATTCTTTTTGGAGAAACATACAGGTCAATTTTTTCTAATAGTCTGCTGAAAGTTCAGTAAGTAAGCTCCTTTAAATTAATATTTTCAGTTCTGTGTTCTGATTCAATTTTAGTCTGTCTTTTTTTTTAATAGCTCAGGTGTACACCTACAGTAATAAACTAGTAAATGGCAGCATTGAAAAAACTGAAGATAATTTATCAAGTTTTTAATCACCTTGGAGGAGTTGTGTTTTCTAGAGTGACATAGACTAGTTTTGGACTCTAATCAGATAAGATCCCTGCTCTAAGAAACCTTCGCTCCAAAATTAGTGACATACAGCTCAAGTTACTCTTTAGAGAGAGTTGCTTGGAATTTTGAAGATGCAAGTTTCTAACTTTTCGCAATCAGACATCCAACAATTCCACAGCAACAGTGTGTTTCAAAAGTATTTGTAACTAGATGAGTTGCAGCTGATCTGGAAAGACTGCTAAAAGTGAAGTTGCTTGAGAGGTATTAGGTTGTGCAGAATCCTGAAGAAAAAAAGAAAGACCTTAAACCTGATGTTGAGGCTTCCTTTAACTGCTGTATTTGAAGTTATCCTGTCAGGATTGAACATAGAATTTCTGTGAGCTAGTTTGTGAACAACCCTTTTAAGTAAGTTTCTTTTTGAAGAGAAGTGAGAAACTCAAAAGAAGTGAATGCAGATCAAGATGAGTATCTGCTGGACTTCATCCTTGAAATTCCCTGTATGTAATGGTGCATTGCAACCTCATTAGTGATTCTTAGCCTGTAGAGCTTCATTGGCACATCTGTTCAGTAATTGTTTTGCTTAAAAATGGCCGGTTTTGGGGCAGCTGTCTGTCATGAAAGCCAGTAACTGCTGGTTAGAAGCCCTCAGATCTTTCTGAAGGTGTATGCTGACTATTACTGCCCTGTCACCAATCCACTAAGAGCTAATTCTAATATGTGGACTGCAGTTAAGAAGTGCAGTTACTCGGTTCAGTAGTGTAAACAGCCTTTGATATACTTCCTTCCTTGTGTACTTTATGGAGGGGAATGGACAGACTGCAAGCTGGGAGAAAGTAAGTGGAGTGTGTTCTGGTTTATTTCTTCTGATTAATTTGGAAACTTCTCTCTTTCTTCAGGTGAGGGCTCCTATACATAACTCGGCTCTAGGTGTACATGAGGCAGATCTTTTTAAGACGGCGGCTACCCTGATTAGTTTTATCTACCCAGCACAAAATCCAGACCTCCTGAAAAAGCTTGCAGAAAAAAAAACTACTGTCTTGGCTATGGATCAGGTTCCACGGGTCACCATTGCTCAGGGATATGATGCACTTAGCTCCATGGCCAACATTGCTGGGTATGAGTCTTAATACTTTTCCCTCCCCCTCCCCCCCAGCTTGAGTAAGTATAACTGGATTAAAAGCTATGTACTTTTGATATTAGGTCTATATAAACAAATTCTGCATCTCTATTTTCATACAGTTGTTTCAAGCAGGATGAAGCTGTTGGAGGTGCCAAACAACTTCTTAAGTTTCTTATGGTCAGCTTTGCAGCAGATCAGAGCAAGGCTTTTAAAAAACTAAATAAAACTGAAGGCAGTTCTTCTAATTCCTGGACTGCTTTGTCTAGTGCCTTTTTGGTCTGAACTAGATCAGAGCAGGCTCAAAGATAGCCTTAAGGCAGCGTGAACACAGATTGTCTGTCATTGGGATCTGATGTTGTTGGGAGCTAACCAACCCAAACACCACTCGGTATGAATGCAATTGCCATGGCAGATATAAACAAAAGACCAAATACTCTCAGACATCTTCATGCTTTGCGACTGGTATTGTAGTGAACTAAAATGTTGTTGTCAAGCTGACTTTTATTATTAGGTTCTTTATTGCTTTTTATTTTTTTGATGATGTCTGTGAGGCATAGTAGGCCTTGGAGAAGGCTGCCAGATTTTGTGGACGCTGGCAGTATACATCCACTTACATGTTTGCTTACATCTCTCTGTTTTCATTCTGTGTAATTTTACTAAAATACAGAAATTGATAATGTATTTAAAGGTATAAAATCTACAAGCTGTTACTCCAAATTGGAACTAATTTTACGGCATACAGACCTCCGTATGTACCTGCTAGAAATAGGAAAGAGAGTGGAATGGGACTGTTGAACCACAGCACTGTTAGTAAAAATGTAAGAAAATGTGCACTGTTGTTAAGAAAAGACATAATTACACATTAATCTCCATTTTCAGATAGCTCTACTGATGTTAATTTGGTGTCCAGCCACCCATGCTTGGATGACTGCAAAGCAGATGGGGCAAAAGAAGTAGCAAGGTTAAGCTATTTTCCCTAAGCCATATAGCACTGCAGAGTTAGGGTCAGAGTATCTTTTTTTGAACGTGTGCTTGCTTGTGTAAGTGAGCTTACTGCAAAACTACTCTGGGTTTTGCAATTGCCTGTTCATGTTTCCTTCCCTAACAAGCCTCAGGTTACACCCTTTGAAGGTAGCTTCAAAGACCACAAAGGTAACTTTTGGCAAGTTATGCATTTATTATTCAGGTAAAATTTTATTTGAGAGTGAATAGTTGTGGACATCCAGTATATTGCAGTGCAAAAATTCTGGCTGAAAATGCGTTCCATGATTTTAAAAAAAAGCAAGAAATATGAACAAAGACTTGTGCTCAGTAGTAAAATACTACACTTGCTTTATCTGATGCATGTGATGGTTAACTGTTCATCCTTTTCATTTCTGTCATAAATGTAACTGTACTGAGCCTGGGAAAATACTGATATGTGTTCATCCTTAATTGACAGTTACAAGGCTGTGGTACTGGCAGCAAATCACTTTGGTCGATTTTTCACGGGTCAGATCACAGCTGCTGGTAAAGTTGCTCCAGCAAAGGTATGTGCAATTAAACAGATACCGTGGCGGAAGAATACATGAGTTCCTGAGCACAGCTAACCACTGCTGAAATTGTGTTAAAAGGCTTTTTTTCCTGCCTTGGGGCTAGTTCTAGAGACTTCAGAAATCCCTATAGTTATTCCCATACCAATTTTTGTTCACTACCTGTAGTGTCATTTTTTTTTGGGGAACAATAGAATAATTTAAGTTTGCTTAGTTTTAAACATCAGACTAGCTATACATGGATGGTTTTTTTTTTCCCAGATGGGGAAAGGCAAGGAAGCAGTTAAGAAAAGTCACAGATGTTGGGATTTCTGGTGTGTTGAAGGCTGTGATGGAAAGGATTGCTTGATTGGAATTGCAGGTGGATTGGGTTGAACAGAAATGAAAGTAGAATTAGGGAAGGAAAAAAAAGAAGAAAAATTAAGGAGAAGACCTGTACTTATCTATAGCTAACAGTTTATGTAAGTGACTTGGCTCTCAGATAAGTGAAGTTAGGAGTTATAGCTTTTAAACTGTTAGATTTACAGGGCAGCTTTACCAAAGTCATTTTGGGATCTGTGTCCTAAGGTAACTTGTTTAAATGGCTGGTTAATGAGATGTATCTGCAGTTGTGAAAGCAGTACAATGCTCCTGCTTTTCTAACCAGCTCCAGTTTTAGTTTATGCTCCAAGCATGATGATGGTATCATTCTAGGTCTTGATCATCGGAGGAGGAGTTGCTGGCCTGGCTTCTGCAGGAGCAGCTAAATCAATGGGTGCAGTGGTTCGTGGATTTGATACTAGGTAGGTGTGTGAAAATGGTAATAGCAATCTGAAATTATTTTAAGATTGAGTAGTTTGTAGCTGTATTACAGTGAAAGTACTTGTACTGCACTGAATCACAATTCCTTTCCTACCATTTTTGTTCCATCATTACTCCTCCATTTTTTTATACCTCAAAACAAGCAAACCTTCCAGAGTCCTTCTCATTAAATCATTCAGAACTATATGAATAAAAAATTGTTGCTTCATAAAAATGAGAAAGTTAGGTCTTTTATCCAGAATTTCATGTCTCTCTTCTTCTTGGGGACACAGGGAAAACAGTAAAGAAAAAATCTTTATGCCCTCATTTATAGCTTGCTTTGATGCAGGTTCATAGCTGCATACTCTCATTCACCTCTACTCTCCTGATCCCAGAGAGGCCAGTTAGGAACTCTTTGGAGAGACACTTCTTTCAATCTGCTGAAGGAGAGAAAGAGATCAAGTTATTTTATTTATGAAACTCAAGATGAAAGAACAGAAACTGCAGCTACTTTAAATGCTGCTTTTCTCAGGTCTCTTTGTTATGTTTGGAAGGATTATTTTGTCCCATAGCCATTTTTTAGAGCAATAGACTGGGAAAATTACAGAGCACGAACATTTTTCATCTTACAGCTACAGGGACTGCAAACGTCATTACATTTTTTTCTAATAAATGGCCTTTTTATATTGAATTTTTATGTGCTTAATAGTGTATTTGCATTAAAATTACTTATAAATGTTTGTTTTTATATGGAAGTGGCATCTAGTGCTACTTAGCTATATCTAATATGAAAGAAGAAAAATGAACGTATCTCCAGATTTACGATGTGCAATACGAAAAAAACCTTCACTCTGGTTTGTTAGAAAATCTGCATATGCCTTAAAACAAACTGGAAAGAATTTATTTCTCATAAAAGCATGATCAAAATCTGTCTAAAACTTTTCAGATATTTTTAATTCCCTTCTTAAGCATCCTGTATAGTTTTATCTTGGTGTGCCTGAATTTCTGTGTTAAATCCTCTGCATGTTGTGAAAATTCACCTAACACTGAAATTTAGTCTCGTTATTTACTGTGATATCACATGATGCAAAATAAATTACTGATTTACAGGTTAACTGTAAAAAAAAAAAAACCCAAAAAACAAAAAACCAAACAACAAACAAACAAAACCCCCAGAAAACCCAAACCGCCACCATCCCCCCCAACCAGTTTTCCCTGGTGAAAATAAGACTTACTAGTATTTCCCATGTCACAGATTAAAGACAGGGCCACAGGTTGTGTATTCATCACCTATCTTAGGCATCTAAGTTTGGGCTGTAGATCTACCTAGTCATGACGAGAAATGGGTGAGCGAAGTTAGTCAACAGTTAAGCTCCTAGCTTTGAGCCTTTTCTTGGAGCAACTGTGCTGACTATACACGAAACTGGAGGCTGCCTTCATTCCTTATCCAAGTATCTTCATTAGGGACCTAAACTTAGTGATGCAATTACTTTTTTCACTAAATATAGAAAGCTGAGGACTTTAGTTATGGTCTCCTTAATCCTAGAATAAGTTTTGGGTCTCTTGTCTGAAGACTGCTACTAAAAAGACCAGAAAAGTCATGGTGGATTTTTAAAGTAGTGGTTATTTCCTCCCCTGCAATTTTCTCTTCCTAGAGCTGCAGCTCTGGAACAGTTCAAGTCTCTTGGTGCTGAGCCTTTAGAAGTAGACTTAAAGGAATCTGGAGAGGGACAAGGTGGTTATGCTAAAGAAATGTCCAAAGAATTTATTGAAGCTGAAATGAAACTCTTTGCCAAGCAGTGCCAAGACGTTGATATTATCATCACTACAGCACTTATTCCAGGTATGTTTTATGTGCAAGATGCTAATTTTCATTTATCTTGTGTAAGTTAGCATGTTTTCGGAGCTATGCCTGCAGTGAAAACAGAGGTGTTAATGAATTATATCTGTGTGAGCATGTACCTTTTCCCTTCCCTGATAAATGCCTGTTTTTAAAGTGTGTACTTTTTTTTACAAGTTTTGTTTTCACAAACTAGCAGTCTTTGACTCAATAGTATCATGTTTTCTTATTAAACAAGGAGTAGATAGTAATAAAGTAAGAATATGTAATTGTCTTGCATATTTATTGCATCACTGCTACTTCCGCTATCCAGCTTGTGCACTGAAACAAGTCCAATTGAAACAGTACTGTCTCTTCTATTTGAAACATAGTAAGGTAGAGCGTAGGTTTTTAGTGCTTTGTATTGCACAACATCTGTCTCTCCATAACTTATGGTGTGGTGTTTCTTTTTTTTGGTTATGACTTGAATTGTAAGATTGGATGTTGTCAGTTTACTGAGGACAAAATTGGACTTGCCAGCATCTTTGGTAGACTACCCATGCATACTTTTTTGTAGATGGTTGGGAGCAAGATGTTCTAGCATCTCTTCTCTCTGCCTGTATAAACAAACCTTCTGTGACATTCCATCCTAGGTACCAATTACTTCAAAATTTTGCTTAGAAAAATAAAGTTTATACATATAGAGAGAAGGGGAGAACGGATCTCCTGAGCTCTACAGATAAAAAGCTGTATTTTGTGTTTAACTTACTATGCCTTGTCTTGTCAGGCAAAAAAGCTCCCATCTTGTTTAAGAAAGACATGATTGAATCAATGAAGGAAGGTTCAGTTGTTGTGGATTTAGCTGCAGAAGCAGGGGGAAACATTGAGACTACAAAGCCTGGAGAAATGTATGTTCATAAGGTGAGCATTTTAATCTGCAGATCATTCTCAGTTTGCATGAATTCACATTGTGTTTTGTAAACTGTATGCTGAAAATGAGTAGCTGATTTTGCTATTTGGGCTTAAGTAATCCTTTAGATTTGCATGTGGTCATCTCTATGTATAATAATTTGAAGGTTTGTAAAGAAACAAATACTTTTGTATAGTGTTAATTTGGTTGTTAACTATGGAAGTGTTACTACTTAGACTTCCCAAGTCCAGTGATTTGTCTCTGCTGAGTTGTGGGTGTGGTTTGATGTCTATTTCTTGGTCTACCTAAAGAGACAGCAGTAGCAATAGCTTCTTTGACTTGCCCATCGCCTCCCAGAACTGGAGGTTAACAGTCCCTGTCATAGGTAAGCTAAGCAGGTTCAGACTATGTCAGTATTTACCTCAGTGCAAAGTCTCTGGCTTAGGTCAATACAACTGCAGCTTCATGAGGGTGCTGCCTTTGTATGTCTTTAACTTCGCCAACATGAGTGTGTCTGCCCTAGAGTATCCAAACCACTTGTAACCCAATCTAGGAGTAGCGTGAATTGGTTCATTAAAGTAAGCAATTTTGCTCTGGACTGAACTAACTACTTTGGTTTTGCTCCAGTGTTCATTGGCTCAGTTGAGAGCTTGTTTTTCTGCTTTTTGGGTTTTATTCTTGGTACTTGTGAAAAATCTACTAGCAGTTATAGCAATTTGGGTGATAAGATTTGAAGTAGCAGATTTCCAAGGTTGTTTGGTAATGTAAGGACATAATGCTGTTATTAGGGAAGCCTGTAGGACATACTGCTTCCATGGTTGTCATTTATATAAGCAGGGCTGTGTGTGTGTATATAATATCATGAGTCACTCATTGTATTTGGCTTTGTGGTTTCCTAGGGCTTTTGATGTCATTGCTTAAAAACTGAAATTAGAGTATGTAGAACAGAAATGAGCAGATACTTGCATGAAGAATTTATATGGAGTGCTTTTAGTCAGGGGTGTGTCACCCCTGGATATAGCGTACTGGCACTGAGCTGTGGAAAAGAGCAGCAGTGCAGAACTATTAGCAGTGTGCCGGAGCATTGCATTAAGAAGCCAGAGTTCCTGGAAGCATGCATAGATCTTAGCTGTGAGTTGCGGGAGCAGTGTTTTAACAGAAGCCTGCTTGAACATGAAGAGTGTATGCCAGCCTCAGCTTCCCATACCTTCCAAAAGCTCAAGAGCCTGATAGCCAGGTATACTCACATTTGTTCTTTAAACAGTGTGGATATATTATGTTACATCTTTACATAAATGTGAACCTGGGCATATTACTTGCTCAACTGCCTAGCTCTGAGGACGCTCCCTTCACTCCTGTGTCGTATAGAAAGTTGCCTCCACTGCATGCTCTCTAGAAGGACTGAGAAGATGCCAAGCATTAGGCAGGATAATCTGTTACCTGGTTGCTTTAAGCAGCTGAGTTCTGAGGGAATGGTAGGATTTGGAGAGGACAACCTCTTGCGTCAGTGCATCTTCCTCTCTGTGTAGGCTTGTTGTTAATAGCATTTAAGGTGTTGGGTTTGATCATGTTCAATTTTGTAACTGTTGTGAGTAATCCTCCCCCGACTTAATAATGTTAGAGCTGCAGGTAACAGTTTTAGCTGGGGTTAAAAACAGAAATAAGTGAAACAGTTTGGATATGTATTTCCAGAAGGATATATTGGAAGAGATGCTGCTTCTTCAGAGATTGAACTAATCCTTAATATTTTACTTGAATTTTTTTCAGGGTGTTACACACATTGGCTACACAGACCTGCCTAGCAGAATGGCTACTCAGGCCAGTACTCTGTATTCCAATAATATTATAAAACTCCTAAAGGCTATTAGTCCTGACAAGGAGAACTTCTACTTTGATCCAAAAGATGAATTTGATTATGGGACTTTGGATCATGTTATTAGAGGAACTGTAGTCATGAAGTTAAGTCAATAAATATAAAAGTATGTACTCAAATTAAGAAGATAATATTTATCAGTGTTGTCTCTTTAAAATGCATTCGACCAAATGTAGCTTGATGGACAATGTGGGCAGTTGTATTTTGTTTGTATTCAGCTGAATATTCCTCTGTCCCTTTTTGTGAAGGGAAACCTCTTTGCTTTTGTTGTCTTGTCATGGTTAAACAAACCTTATGTCTACTATTGAAAAATAGGAGAAAGATTAAATTTTCATGTTGTTTTCATGTGATAAAAGCATAGTTATTTAAAACATGTTTGCAACATTACTACAGGGCCAGAAAAACATTCTTTTTTTTTTTAAAATAAATACATGTTTCTGCTTTTATAAGAGTAACTTCAGAAAAAACTGGTGGAACTAGAATACGCAGTATATTTTAAGCTCTATTAGGAAATAATAAAATACAAACTTAGGGCATGGGCCCAGTATGGGCTCTCCTCCTGCAACTATTAGGAAGTTACTATTACTATTTAGGTAAGAGGTGTTAATTTCTGTTGAGTTTTGCTGCATAACGTTGCCAACACTTTGTAACGCTTATGATGCCTACTCTGGAGGAGGCTTGCATTGATTTCAGCCCTCCCAGACCTCTAAAGTGGTATGTGCAACTCAGGTCTGACAGCTCCAGCAGTTATTCCTCCAGAGGCCTGGAGAACAGCAAAAAATGTGAGACATCATGCTTGGTACCTAGCTGAGGTCTGGGCAGGCTCTGATTATAGTTCAGATCTGTAGCAGATTTTGCTATTTCCAAGACCCTGTTTTATTTTGCATAAATGTTTTCCATTTAAGGAACTTTACCTCTTTGTTTTGGTTTCTGCTTTCAAGCCTTATGCTGTGCTTCCACCAGATGTTTTTGGACACTGATGTTAAATCTTGTCTGAAGAATGTGTAAACTGATATGATTAACTTGGTCAGGCTGTACTGATCATCCAGCCTTGCAAAATTCTGCTGATGCAGAAAAGGAAGATGTTCTTGTGGCATGGCTGTAGAATGTTAAGACTTACCTGAGTTGCAGGATTAAGAATAGGCTCCTCTAACTATGAAGCATCTGCCATGTTAGGGATAACTGTAAATATCTCTTGTCAGGATGGCAAGGTGATTTTCCCAGCACCTCCACCAAATAACATTCCTCAAGGAGCCCCTGTGAAGCAGAAGACTGTAGCAGAGCTGGAAGCGGAAAAAGCAGCTACTATTACACCTTTTAGAAAAACTATGACTAGTGCATCTGTATACACAACAGGTAGGCAACTTCCAGAGTTGGAGAATCAGTGTAGAGTGCTCCTCATTTGGCTAATGCTTTTAAGTGACTCCTCATCGTACTCATTCAATTCAATAACTAGTTGAGAGAGCAGTTGATTGGCTGGTGTATCCTAGTGCAAAATCAGCATACTGTAATAATTGCTCTTGAGAGGGAAAATAAAATTTTAGAAATTTAACTGAAAGTATTAACACTTCAAACAGTGCTGACTCATGCTGTGTACATGTATGCGTGTTTGGCTTTATTTAAATATCAGTAAAATACTTAAAATTCTGAAGGATTCCTGCTGGGGACTGTGCCCATGCTTTGCAGCAGAATCAATTCAATGCCATTGCTTTCTTCAAACTTTAATGTATTGTATGACACTTAAATGTACAAAGTCTACTGAAGTACTGAGAACAGGACTTTTGTCTTGACAAATAAATATTGGCTCTTCTTGTCATTTGGTGTTCTGTGTGCATCAGAACTTCTGCATGAGGTAATTAATGAATTGAGTATTCTTAATTTTAACCTCTGTTCTTCATATGCATGCTTTGAGTCTTCCGGGTAGTATCTCAACATGATTGTGACTCTTCTACATTTTTGCTATAGAACAGGAGAGTGACAGGATTCAGGGTTGGTGTAGAAACCTATCTTTGCTACTTTGTGTGCATGCGTAACAAAGATGTGTGTATTATATTTATGGTTTTATTTTCTATTGTAAAAGAAGCACGAGCACTGAAAGAGCCTTGTAGTTAACAAGGATGATCCAGCTGATCTTGAAACAAGTCCATGCACAAAACTCCATTTTGCTTTTAGCTCAACACTGGACTCCTGTTGTACAGAGTTTAAATGTAAGAAACCATTGAAAAGTTATAGAAGAGTTTTGCTGTGCTTTTCTTCTAGGTTTAGCCAGCATGTTAGGACTGGGCATTGCAGCTCCTAATACTGCTTTCGCGCAAATGGTGACAACATTTGGCCTAGCTGGAATAGTCGGGTACCATACAGTATGGGGTGTGACTCCTGCTCTTCACTCTCCACTCATGTCAGTGACTAATGCTATTTCAGGTAAGTAGGTGTCACGAACTGCTTATTTTCCATTTGAAGTACACAAATGGAGGCACATTTGAAGTATACAAATTGAAGGCACAGCTCGTTTTACTTGAACTTAAGGCAGAAGCCTGCTGATAAGCCTTTTAAAATGCCAAAGGGCATAGTACTACTTCGCATGTCTGAGTTTACTTTCGTAAATAGCAAGGACACCTGAAACATACTCTTTCTGAGAATATGTTTTTTCAAAAGGGCAAATGTGGTGTTGTGTATCTTCAATTTTCATAATTAATTTTTCACTCTTAACCTGTTTGCTTTAAAGTTTGTTTTACTTGGAGTGCTGCAGTCTCTCCTTTCATAGAACACATCTTTCCTCCCATCTCTCAAAAACGTTGCCCTGAAAATAACTTGTCTTTCATATTTTCTGCATTCTTTTTTTCCTCTCCTCAAACTATGTGTTTTGAGAGGGGAGAAAAAGAAAAAATTCCTAAGTGACCTGTAAGATTCATAATTCTATAAATACGTACTGTTTTATGTATCTGTGTGTATATATGTGACAGGTCATGAGTCTGATCTACTTTGACTGTTAAAAGCAAAGTTTCTTTTATCAAACAAGTACTCGGCGGCTGACTCTGTGCTTGAGGCACTGTACTTCAAAACTATATTCATACACTAATTTTTTTCTTTTGAAACATGTTTATATTGCTGAAAAAGACCACGGTAGTCTTTGTTTAAATAGTAATGTGTAGAGTAGGGGTCAAAATTTGAGTTGACTGGTATCTGTTTGACAGCTGAAAGGAAACTTGCTATAGGTATAGAGCCTTTTAAGGTTCAGTAACACTTTTTTTTCTCTTTTAAATAGGACTAACTGCAGTTGGTGGGCTGGTATTGATGGGAGGAAACTATCTCCCTGAAAACACTCCTCAAAGTCTAGCAGTGCTTTCAGCCTTTATCTCTTCAGTCAATATTGCAGGTATGAATGTTAGGTTTTCTCCTGAGGGTAACTTTAAAGCACTTGCGTAATTATTTCTTCTAGCTCTTTAATTGTATAGATGCCAGAAATACTGTTCTGGGAATAGGATCTGAGAGCATCCATCAATAAAGAACCTCCCCTCCCAAATTTTCATAGTAGTTATTGTATCTGGTTTGCACAGCCTGTGGTGTAACCTTTTTTTTAGGGAAGCATTTAAATGTGCATTTTTATTTTACAGTATCCTTTGGGTGTTGATAATATGAAATATCTTTTCCTGTATATCCCAAGATGGTACTGCGTTTGTCCTTGTATTCCTTTTCCTACTTTAAAAATATACCACTGGCATAGAACAAAATTCTGCTTGCTTGAGCTTCAGCAGTGCCAGTTTCACGAATAAAAAAGATAAGAAAGTGACCAATGTGACTTATAAATACTGCTTTTTGCTAGAGTAGATAGGGAAAAGGACACAGTCATAAACTAAGCTGTATCCTACAGTCAGCGTAGAGTATGGAGCCAGAGCAAGTCCTCCAGGCTTTCCAACTCCTCATTTTATGAATTTCCTCCAAAGGTTAAAGACAACAGGATCTCACCCTGCTTATACCTTTGTTTCCTTGTGGTTTTCTAGATTACTAGCTTTTCAGAGGCTTTATTCATGTCAGTCACTAACTTTGTGTGGTAATATGGCTTAACCAAATATTTCTCTTACAGCTTGGTATATGCTTAGTTTCAGATTTTATTTTTGTAAAATCGCTCCTTTACTTTGGCCAGGTGGGTTTCTAGTTACACAGAGAATGCTGGATATGTTCAAACGTCCCACAGATCCTCCTGAGTACAACTACTTGTACCTACTTCCTGGTGGTGTATTCGTAGGAGGCTATGCAGCTGCTCTCAATGGTGGCTATAATATTGAACAGGTAAGATACCTTTGTGGCTCTTAGCCCACTGTTCACAGCATGGTATGCTCCTTCACTGCTTACTGTGTTGAGGAGTAAATAGCAAATTCGCCATGGTCTTTTCATCAGCTATGTATTCCCACAAGGCCAATCTGGAGTTGATTAAGTTTGCAATTGTACCCCAAATGCTGAATCTGCAAATTTTAAAAGCATTGGGTTGTTTTTTCCTGTAAAGCAGCAGTTACTTTGTTATTTATTGGACAGTTTTCCTAAATTACAGCTTAAGTATTAGAGCGACTATGGAAATCAGTCTTTGTTTACATGTTTCTGAAAATTTAACTTGGTGTGACAGTTAACGTGGGCGTGACATCTGGATGGGATGAGATTTCAGCACAGAGGGATGTACAGGGATTGTACCTATAGCACCTTTTATGGTAAACTTTTGTTTGCATTTGTTTTATTAGTAAGAAAAATGAATGTGTATTGCCTTCTGTGTTTGGAAAAAGTGAATCCACACATACCTTTATGCCAGGGGCTTGTAATATGTTTGAGTTTTTTCAGTTATCTAGACATGTACAGCTCACTTCATTTAAGTTTGTTTTATACTTTTGAAAACAGGAGTTCAGACGTGCCATAAGCAAATTCTGAAACTATTCCTGTAATGAACAGGACAGTTCAGCTTTGGGTTTGTACTAAAGAAAAACTTGCTTCTGAACTGATGAGGAAAATTGGCCTGACTCAAGTTTAGTATTCACAGTGCAGATAAACCAAGGTCACAAAGTGGGGAAGAAGTTTTAATAGATATCACATATTAATTGGCCAAAATCACACCCTGTACAACAGTTTCTCACAGTCAAGAGTATTGACTTAGCTTATGAACTGTGATTTACACACATTCTGGAGAAATCAGCCCTTTTGTGTTAATAATCAGAAAGATTTTTGTAATGATTATGGGCTTTGTCTCTACTTCATGTATATATATTGATGTTTTTCTTGTTTTAAAGATGATGTATCTGGGCTCAGGCTTATGCTGTGTTGGTGCCCTGGCTGGTCTGTCTACCCAAGGAACAGCTCGTCTTGGAAATGCTTTGGGTATGATTGGTGTTGCAGGAGGTTTAGCAGCAACTCTTGGAGGCCTTAAACCCTCACCTGAATTGTTGGCGCAGATGTCAGGTGCTATGGCATTTGGTGGTACCATAGGTACGTGCATGATACTATAAACTTACTGTATGCTCTACATGTGCATTTATGCAGGCTGTATATGCACAAAATATTGTATAGCTCACAGGTGAATTGACTAACTTACATTTATGGCTTGTGTATGTTATTTTGCAAATATGTGAACAAAGAATCGTTAAGTCCCAGGGCTTTTATTAATGCATCAGAATGTGGTAAAGAATGGGGAGGCTGGTGGAAAAGCAGGAGCACATCATCTCTGTTAGGGAAACTGGGTATGCAGAGGTGAATGAACTTGCCCAACTTCATACTTCTGTTCAGTTCCTGACTGAATGCTGCCAAATTCCCTTTTTCACACTGTGCTTTTGTCACGGAAAATGTTAAATTTCTCAATATTTAGTGAAGCTTCTAAGAACATGATATGCTTTAATCTTCTCTCTAATTTCCATGATACCCTCATTGCACAAAATACACATATGCAGCTTTCAGTTAAATGCCATAGCAATTTCTAGTGTAGAACAATTTTTTCCATTGGAACAGGCATGTGTGTGCATGTATTCAGTGCACACTGAACCATGATGCATTAATTTCTAGCTGCAGAGATTGGTTGTGTTTTGTAAGACTTCACTTCTGTCTTCAACTCTCAATAGGTTTGACGATTGCTAAACGCATCCAGATTACAGATCTGCCTCAGCTAGTGGCTGCTTTCCATAGTTTGGTTGGTTTGGCTGCTGTGCTCACCTGTGTAGCAGAATACATGATTGAATATCCTCACTTCGCTACTGATCCAGCTGCAAACCTCACCAAGGTTGTGGCATACCTTGGCACGTACATTGGTGGAGTGACTTTTAGTGGCTCTCTTGTTGCTTATGGAAAACTGCAAGGTGAGGCCTTCTGTTCAGAACTAAATATTTGTTAAAGGTTTTTTTTCCCCCAGGGTTTAGCTCTGCCTTTAGACTGCTGTGTAACTGGAAAGAAACCTTGTATTTTCCATCAGGTAAAAGTTTATATGTTTAACTCTTATGAGTGTACTTTTTTCTTTTTAATTGTTTAACTTGTGTGCAGCTTTAGTTAAGAAAGGTTTGTCTTTAGTGCTTGGACATACTACTGCTATTAATTACAAAGTCATGTAAGCTTCCCTCAGTTCATCTTGTCTAGAAGTAAGTGTTGCTTTAGTGTTGTTAAGACACTACCTGACACTGTTTCTCTAATTGATTTTATTGAACTTTCATGATCACAACTTCGTATTCCTGAGCAGACATTTTAATTGAAACCCTGGTGTTGCTGGACTCAGTGAGCACCACTAATATTTATGGGATTTTGTTCTTACCATTGCAGGCTTCATTTAGGTAGGTAGCTTGCAGTATCAGTTAAGACTGCCACACTTTAAACCATTCAGTTTGCTATTTACCTACTGTACAAACTCCATGCTCCATACTTCTTACTGTTTTAGTAAATATGCCTTCTAAATTAAATACTCACTAATTCCTGATTCTTATGCACCTGGAGGTTTCTTTATTGCATTTATTTTTGGTTTTGTAAGCACACAGCTTTTGAGAGACTGAGATAATACCTGTACTAAGAAGTATGGAGTAAGAGCTTCCTATTACTAATCCTGTTACTAGCTTTGCAATAGTTCCTTTGGGAAACATCTGTTTGCTTTCTTCAGTGACCGGCTAAGAGCTTCCTATTACTAATCCTGTTACTAGCTTTGCAATAGTTCCTTTGGGAAACATCTGTTTGCTTTCTTCAGTGTTTATGAGACCAGCCATTGAAGGAGGAAGCATGACATGGATGGAAAGCTGTCTTCTCTAATAATCTTTTGAAGGATTTGTCAGTAGTATGTATTTCTGCTAAGTAGTTACTCATTTATTTCTTCTTGGTTATTTTTTTTTCTCTTCTCCATCATACCCCCTCTACCCCCTCAGTGATTTGTGAGCATGTCCTTGGTGAGCTTCACTGCCTGTTTCAGTCCACTCTCCTGTTTTTTTTTAATTCCCCCCCCTTTTGCATTTTCATATCAGCATGATAATAATAAGCTTGTCTCTACTATTGAACTAGAGGTAGTAAGTCACATAATTTGACTCCTAGTCCTGAGACCACAGTTCATTTTTTTCCTTAAATTCAGCTACATTTAAATGAGACACTTGGTAAGTAATTACACCAAAAGTAACAGATAAACTTCCATTATTTTTACTCTTTGCTGTGTAGTTTGGAGGAAAAAAAAATCCTAGGGTGAAAATAAATATGTAATTGTCTTTTTAAACTGAATCACACAAATACCAAACCCTCTTTTCCCCTCAAGTCTCTGCCAGCATGGAAAGCTGTGGGAAGTCTGTGTGAGTAAGGGTACTGGTGAAATTAAAACATTTGAAAGCAGGAGTGTTTTATATTTGGGGTTATCTGTGCAGTCGTATTTTTCTAAGCACAGCTTTTGAGAGACTGAGATAATACCTGTACTAAGAAGTTCCAGCTCAAAGCTTCCTATTGCAGAGCATCATACACAACATGCAAAGACTTGGGGCCAGAATGCAAGTACTTTTTTTATTAAAAAAAAAAAAAAAGCTTTTCAAGAGGAGAAGAGATTTTTGTGATTATTCTGAAGCACTTCAGCAAGATTAGGAAGTAAAACGAGTTTAAACAGGAGTATTTGAGAATCTGGAGTAAGTTTGAATGTGTTGCAATATTAAGTCAGCACAAGGTCTCAGCTTCAACTAACTTTTATCTTCTGCCCCTCCCTTTTTTAATTTTTCTTTTGCTGAGGTATTCAGTCTTCTCTGAAGGCAAGAGACAGGCTCTCCTGCACGTATGTGTCAGTCTCTGAATATGCATTTGATTGCAGGTATTCTGAATTCTGCGCCACTGCTCTTGCCTGGTCGACATGCATTGAATGCAGGATTGCTGGCTGCCAGCATTGGCGGAATGGTTCCATACATGATCGATCCTAGTTACACTACGGGAATTACTTGCTTAGGTTCTGTGTCAGCTCTCTCAGCCATAATGGTAAGTTGGGGAATTGCAGGAGGTGAAACAAATTAAACAGCAGTTTGTTCTTCAGCTTTGCAAGTTTCCTGTTAATGACTGTATTTTACCATCCTGAGTCACTATCATCATAGTGCCTGTATGCTAACTTGCAGTAGCAAGTAGCAACTGACTTTCCTAAATCTAGCTGTAAACCAGAACTCTTCCAGAGAACAGGCATGTATGTATATAATTACTTTTGCAGCTATGACTTAATGGATCCTTCTGGATGACAAACTGGTATTTTAAAAGACTTTACAAAAAGTTTTATCCTTAAAATACTTAAGAGCACTGGATCTATAGGTTATCATGATAACTTAGTGAGATTATCCCCATGTGTAACTTCTCCCCATTCGCTCATACCAGCTGTTCCAAAATTTACCCTGAATATTGCCATTCTGTAAACTGAGTCTTGCAAAGACTGCTCAGTATGAATCCTTTAATGGTATAAACAGTTCCGTGGAGCTGATAGGATATTTTTGCAAGTAAAAATATGTGACTAAGCGTAGGATGAGGGCAGTGGAGTGCCTTCCTGTCCTCTCTCAAAAGGCAGAATCGGTAAGTCTAATCCTCAGGCCACAGCTTGATGTCTTCTACATTGAAAATACTTGAATAGAATTAAGTAACTTGATACTTATTTTTCAGTGCTGCAGGCAGCGTGTCTTCTCTGCATGTTCTCCTTAGTTGTAGCTTACACTGAAATATTTTCTTTTATTTTCCAGGGTGTCACTTTAACAGCAGCTATTGGAGGTGCTGACATGCCTGTAGTTATTACTGTCCTGAACAGTTATTCTGGATGGGCTTTGTGTGCTGAGGGCTTCCTACTGAACAACAACTTGCTGACCATTGTTGGTGCACTCATTGGCTCCTCTGGGGCCATCCTCTCTTACATCATGTGTGTGGTAAGAAGTCAGCAGAAATTATGCTTGTTTTCTAAGTAATGAAAAAAGTTATTCAGCATGTTTGCTAGGAAGATAAGCAATTGGAAGATCAAGCTGCTAGGTGTTTATAGACTAGAAAATTCTTGCTTGAAACTGTTGGACTAGATGTCAGTCATCTCTCTTTGAAGTACGTATCTCTCCGAACCAAAACTGAGGAAAGCCCTTGTATTGGCTTGAGCATTGAGGGTTTGAATCTGGGCTCAGATAGGTATGATTACTTGTGCTCAGCTGTTTGGGTTGGGTTTTTCTTAGTCATATCACTCTGCGGTGGTGTAAAATTTAAGCTAAAATTAAAATTTATCAGCAGGAGGTACTTTAAGTAGTGAGTTCCTTTAAAAAAAAAAAGTTTGGTTCAGTTAGAGTAATTTAAAGTTTGGTTTTTTGAGTGTAGGAAAGTATGCTTTCTTCAGAGCAGCTACTTTGAAATACCGTGCTACTTTCTTCAGAGCAGCTACTTTGAAATACCACGGGGTGGCAGCAGGCTTGCATTAATGTATTGCTAATTCTAATGTCTGTGTCAGAGCAAACTTGAGCTTCAACTCTGTGTGTAAATCATATTGCATTATTAGTAATGGTCTCCTTTTCCCTGAAACATTTTTACAGAAGTCTCTTGTTTTCCCATGTCTCTCTCCTTTTTGTTTTCAGAGATGGAGAGGTAATGACTTAAAGAAAACTGTTTGTAGTGCAACAGCTGCCAACCTCCTGATGCTCTGTTATGTAATTCTGTTTCACTTCTGCCCTTGTGTTCTTGTATGATCAGTGCGCTGTTCTCCTGTCCTAATGTTTTCCTATGGTCAGCCCTGGCTGTCGTCTTTTACTATCGTCTCTGCTGATAAATAGAGTTGTTACCATGTTAGGAATGTTCAGTATAATTCGTTTTCATCTCTCTTGAGGAGCAATTTCAGGAAAGCTTAAAAAAGTATTTTTGTGCAGCTTCGTGGAGGCGAGTTCAAATGAACAATCCCAGGTATGAATTTTAAAGAATCTTGTTCTTTCTTGAACATTTTGTATCTCCTTATCAAAAGCAAATCAGATTATGTGGCTCATGGGACATCTTTTTATATATAAATACATATACGTATATATTTGTATACAGTCAGCAATTTAGTCCATATCGGTAGAAAGATGAAGCTTATGGGCAACACAGGTATGAAAAGTATGTTCTTTAAATATCCAAGTCATGTAAGTCTTGGTGAAAATATGATCTGCTGGGTACGTATTTACCAGTAGGTATAGTCATTCTATACCTTCATTTTTCTTTTACTGTCCCCTTCCTTTTTTTTTATTTATTTTATTGCTAGCTCCTCTCAGCACTCAGTTTTGAGATACTTGCCTCTGTTGGTTGGAGGAATCTAGGTAAATAGGAAGCCTGGGGAAGTAATTGTTGTGCAGTGACAGAGTGGCTTTCATATAATCATAGAATAGTTTGGGTTAGAAGGGACCTTCAAAGGTCATCTAATCCAGCCGCCCCGCAATGAGCCTGGACATCTTCAACTAGATCAGGTTGCTAAGATGTAGTTCATAGTTCCTCTATGTATTTCTCAAATTTCAGGAAGTTTAGTTTTTGAGGTAGTATTCTAGAAATCTTGTGCTACTTTACATAAGCTTAGACAATTAAAGTTGATCAGCCAGTAAAATTAAAATTATTTTATATAATTTCTGCACAATAAGCAGAATAACTTGTTTCTAGCCCAGCACTTCTCTGCTTTACTTCCGTTAATAGAAGTCATTACTTCTAAAAGTATTGTTATAATCGGGGGATTCAGTATCATTGTCTTGAAGCTGCGTTTCAGGAGAAAAAATGCTCAAGAGTTTCAATAAACTGCTTTAGGCTGTTGCAACCTGTGCTAATGAAGCAATAGTTTTCCCCTCCTTTCCCTCCCCCCCGCCAAGTACGACTTCCATCCAAAGCAGTATGTTTATTGAAGCTTAGCTAGTACAAATGAGGTGGTGTTTGTGGAAACATCTTAATGGTTGAAACCTTCTTTTTACAACATTTCCAATTACTTTTTGTGATAAAACTGTAGCTTAATCATCCAAAGCCTATCCAGATTATCTCTTAAAGCTTGAGTTGATAAAATTGGCCAACGTGTATTCAGATAACCACTTAGTTTTTGCACTCATATCTGCTTGACTTTCCACCGATCCCTCTTTTGTGCCTGTTAGTAGAGTGAGTTAAGGACAAAGAATTTAACTTCAGAACAAAAAAGCAAAGGCCTGTACTGTTCACTCATGCTGTGAATTCTGACTTCTTTTAAAACGCGAACACATGTCTTCTTCGGAAACCTTTTTTTTATTAGGCTGTCCTTCCCCCCCCCCCCCCCCCTTTTTTTTTTTGGCAGAGTGAATAGAATCATAGAATCATTGAGGTTGGAAAAGACCTCTAAGATCATCGAGTCCAACCGTCGACCCAACACCACCATGCCGACTAAACCATGTCCCTAAGTGCCTCATCTACACGTCTTTTAAATACCTCCAGGGATGGGGACTCAGCCACTTCCCTGGGCAGCCTGTTCCAATGTTTAACCGTACTTGACGATTGCAACTGTAGTACTAGAATCAGTGTGCTTAGGGGTGGGGAAAATGCTTCAGGTCGAAGAGGAACCATTAACTGGGGTGATGAAACGGAGCAAGAGTAGGGACAAATTGTGTTAGTCTTATAAATTGTATGCTGGCCCATCACCTGTACTAGCTGTGCAGTTTCTGTGGGCACAGTGGAAGGACTTGGAGTTCTCGGCAATCAAGGGTTCGGTTTGCCCCAGGCTGTAAGCTCCTGGCCAGTATCACTTGTGTATGCACAGCATAGAGGGTTTTTTCCTGGTGGTTGGATTATCTGTGAATGGTGAAGCCTGCACTTTATTCATATATGTTTGTGGTCTGTGGTGGTAAAGGAGGTGAAAGAGGCTATAAGAAGAGTTTCCACACTGTCCCTGTGCTGAGTAGGTCTTAGCTGTATTGGTTAATTGTTGTTTGATGAGGTCTTGGCTCATTTTGAAGCCTTCTGTACCACCCCCTTTGTTTTTTGCCAGACTTCCCTCTTCTTTCCTTGGCACTTTGGTGCGGAGCCAGGCAAGGGTGCTTCAATCTCATGCTTGCTTTGTGTGGATTCTCAGATTTCTAATAATATTTGAACTTTTTTTCCTTTGTCCTGGTCTTACTGTTGTCTTTTGGTTTAGATACGTGTAGAAAGTGCTTTGCTTCTTGTAAGCTTAGCATGAGCAATATCTGAAGAGGTTTTTCTTCTGTCTAGGCTGTCTTACCTGACACTTAACTGCTGTAATATATTAAGTAGTCTGTTTTTCTGTTTGATGGTTTAATGTTGTGGTACACGTCAAAGGCAGTGTGTTCTTAGAGGATATGAACTACTGCAGACGGTAGAAAGATGCTGACTTCACTGCATTTGTGTGCCTTCCTTACAGTATCTGAAACAGTAATGATTTATCAGGATAAACAAAAGTTCTTCTAACATCTTTGTTGTGCTTATTTGCTAGATGATGAATTTCACAGAATGGCATACCTCCTCAGGCTACAGCAAAAACCCTGTGGAGTTGCATGATTTGAAATGTCAGTGGAAAATGGACACTTGGAGGCATACTTTTGTGTGGGTGTTTCCTCTTGCTTGTATGTGTGCCTCTCCAGATCCATTCTTAAATTTTGCTGTGGTTTCTGAGCTAGCACAGCAGATGTATGACACACATGTTTAATTAAAGAAGCAATTTATCCTGTTTCTTTCCTGCTTCTAAAGTTTTGTTTACTGCAATTACAAGTTTTGCCTGCTTCCAGATATTGCCAGATATTGCTTTGGGACCACACTCACAATGAGACATGCCAGTGAAAGCATTTAGCCAGTGGCTTTTCCTGGCTATGTATCTAACAGCCAAATTTTCAGGATGTGTTCTCCTCTTAAAGCTCCTAGTTTAAGATCTCTTGTTCCCCTTTGGTGCTCAGCCAGTAAGTTAATGGCCCCCTTCAGTTTATTACAATTTGTGTTGAAGTTAGCATTTGGTTAGTTTTGTGTGGCTACTTAGCTTTGTTGTGTTCTTTCCTGTCTTGATGCTGTAGGAGCTTTGCTTCTGTACTACCTGTAAGAGCTACATGGTTTCCATGCTGTCATATAGCAGTTCTGTGCTTACATGTTGAATTGCTCAAGAGCTTAAGAAAATACCTTGCAAAAATTGTGTGTGTGTGTATATATATATATGTAAAAAAAAAAAAAAAATTTCTGTCATCAAATACGCATTCTTTTATATCCCTGCCTTTTAAGAACAGAAAGAGACCAATATTTGTTATTTGTGTTGTTTTGTTCTTTGTCTTGGGGAAATGCTGATGCTTTCTCATTACATGCGTAATGTAATGCGTTAGAGGCTGATACTTGGCTGTTGTTGTGTTAATCTGGGTCTCTGTTTTAAGGAGCCTCTTTTAAGAAGTTTTGAGTTGTAAGCAGGCAAAACTAGCAGGTAAAGACTATTGTCAGGAAGGCTTTAATATTTTCGTAAGTTTTCTTTGTGGACATCTTCTCTCCTTTATTTTTGGATTTCATGTTTAGCTGATCAAAAACCTCTTGTCTTTCAGGCTATGAACCGTTCCCTTGCAAATGTGATTCTAGGGGGCTATGGCACCACGTCAACAGCTGGTGGGAAGCCCATGGAAATTACTGGAACCCACACAGAAATCAATGTGGACAATGCAATTGAAATGATAAAGGAAGCCAATAATATCATTATTACTCCAGGTAAGACACTCTTGACTCATACAGCAAGATGTTCAGAGGATGTATTATTAAAAAACCAAACAAACAAGACCCCAAAACAGAACAAAAAACCATAGCCTGTCTTGCAGTTGCAACATAGCAGCAGCGTGTCAAATGTTGACTGTGGGATCTGTTTTTGTTCCCAGGTCAGTCATCATTCCTCTGTGTATGCCACTTTATTTTTCCTTGTGTGTGTCTCTTCAAACTTTGTCCCATTTATTTAGATTTTAAATTCTTCAGGACAAAGACTGTCTTTTGTAAATTATGTTTACAGTTAATTTTGTGTACAGCTGTTGTGGTGTGAGTTTCCAAGCACTACCACAGTACCAGTGGTACCAATAACAAAATAGCTGTCTGTTAAGTTACTGAAAGAGAGGATTTTGTTTATGCTTCTCATCTACTTGCTCAATTCTGCTTTGTTTTATTAAAAAAAGGCAGAAAAACATCTAAAACTTAGTTAGAATACAATAAATACTGGAATTAAAGTAGAAAAAAACCTGAAAACCAAAACCCTGAGTTGCCTGAAACTATTATGTTGGCTGTAGGCTCATATGGTTCAATAGCACTGTCGTGGTTTAACTTCAGTCGGCAACTAAGCACCACGCAGCCGCTCGCTCACTCCCCCCCCACCCGGTGGGATGGGGGAGAGAATTGGAAGAGCACAAGTTAGAAAAACTCGTGGGTTGAGATAAAAACAGTTTAATAATTGAAATAAAATGATAATAATAATAATA